AGAGAGAGAGAGAGAGAGGAGAATGAGGAATTAAATGACTTACAAAGTAACTCTTGGTAAAGTTACTTCGCTTAATAACTCATGGTGTATGTTGAATTTCATCGATCCAACTGTTAAATTAAAAGTTAATAAATTTTACTAATAATTAATATAGAAAAAATTGATTAGCTTTGGAATAAATTATTTACTAACAATATAATTGAAAAATTAATTATTTTAAATTATTTAACTATAATCTTATTGATAATTTACTATATATCTTAATATTTTTGTATAACTAATATCTGGTTTGAAATTTGATATGAAAATATTATGATATGATTATATAAGATTTTAAATTAGTATTTTAATAATGGTTGATAATTAGAAAATAAAATAAGGATAAATTCATTTTTTGAATTTTATATATTAGATTTAAGATAAATAAATATATTAAGTTAATTAATAATTTATTTAAAATGTTGAAATTTAATTTATAAGTATGTAATAAATAAATATTTATAATTTTATAAATTATATTATCATTATCAATTATAAAATATAATATTTTAAAATATATAAATTATTATTTAAACTTTTAAATTTATAATAAATAATTGAAGTTGTATCATAATATTAATTTTAAATAGAAATGAGTAGATTGTTAATTATAAAAGTAAGTATATATACAAATAAAGATTAATTAAATATAATATAATTATTATTATTGGTAATATAAATATTATATATGTTATTATATTTTTATAACAGTCCGAACACACTGGAATGAGAGAGATCTAGAGATAGTACAAGTCTGATATTGTATAGTTGAGGATGACTTAAATGAATTAATTTGTACTACCTATATTAATAACATGCATATACTTTTTGATAGCTTATTTTATTATAACTCCACAGTTAAGCGTGCTTGACTTGGAGTAATATAGGAATGTATGACCATTTGGGAAGTTTTCCAAAAATTTTGCAAGTAAGGACAAAGCATGTTGAAAAGTGAAGTGTTGTATAATAGAACCCTTGAGAGACCAAATATGAAGGGTGTTACATTAATAAATTTATTAAAATTAAACAAATTTTTTTTGACAGAATCACATAAAAATTTTCAAACAATTTTCGACAAATATATTCATCGGTAATTTTTGGCGGATATATCCATAAGAAATTTCTAACGGATAATTACCAACATATATATCCATTGGAAATTTTCGACGAATTAAATTATTTCTGACGGATTTTTTTTTTACGCCCATTTTTCTGACGGATGCAAATCCGTAAAAAATTCTTTATTTTCGACAGATATTCCTTTTTATCAACGAGTTATGTTTTTCGAAAATTTGCATTTTTCTTATAGTGCAATGCTATTGTTATTGTCGCTATTACCATCATTGTTATTGTTACACACTGTTGATGATTATAGTGGTGATAGTGATAACAACAATAGTAATGATAACAATGGTTGTAGTAGTTAGGCTATTACTACCGCCGTCATCATCGTCGTTCCCGGAACGACAATGGTGACGATAGTCGCGAAATAATTATCACCACCACCATCGTCATCATTATCATTGTTGTTGTTATTACCACCATTATCGTTGGAGAGAGTGACAATGGTGGTGATGGGGACAATGACAATTGTGGTGGCAGCGACGATGTTTATAATTTATAGTTGTGAAAGAGATAATAGTAATATTCTTGCAAGGGTATCTATAATTGAGTTTTAATATTAACCATTAGTTGCTTTTATCTATAATCTAAAGGCTATGATTTACTCCTCCCATCTCTCATATTAAAACATGCTCTCATTGAATACCACCTCTCTCTCTCTCTCTCTCTCTCTCTATATATATATATATATATATATATAAAAGTTATGCAATTGAAAATTTAACTTTTTAATAATTATTGATTATATATAGGAGTGACAATGAATCAAACTAATTAAGAAATAGTTTAAAACTCAATTAAAATATTTAAATTATTGAATTTGGTTCATGAATCAAATAAGCTGAGTTTGAGCTAAAATGAAAATTGATAAATAAATGAGTCAAATTTAAGTTGTATATAGTTTAACTTGTTTGGTTCATGACTATTAAAATTTGAAAAAACTTTCAAAACATTATTATAAGCTAATAATAATGTAACAAGTGCACACTTTAGGATTTCATGATTATAGATTAAGTTTTTTGTTATTTTGTACATGGTGGATTATGTTTCGACTATAAGTTTGTTAGCATTATTAAAGTCATCGCATTAGAAATATTATCTATTTTGATGTTCATTAGGTATTGTCTACTCCTCCCTTAATATATATAAGTGGGATTTTAAGATTTTTTTTATAACTTCTTATCTATTTAAATTTGTATTTATTAAATTTATTTTTGATTAAATTTTGATATTTTAAATATCAATAATTAAAAGTAATATTATGCCAAAATATAAATTATTTATAATAAATTTAAAATAAAATTTATATATTTAAAATCACTTATTTATACAAATTTAAATCATTCTCTATATATAAATTTCGATATGAATCTCGTGCGAGAACATTTTTAGGAGCTTCTTTGATGAGAATATTTTTATATGTATTTCTATATTAAAAGATTTTTTAGGATTTTTTTAACTTCTTATTTAGGGATGACAATAGGGCCCCATGGGGCGGGTAATAGTAAACCTGTGCCCGCCCTGCTAGATAAAAATTGACCCCATACTCACCCCATATCCGCGCGGGTATCCATGAATTTCTTCAATACCCACGGATATCCATGGATATTTATAAATTTTTTAAGAAATTAAAAAAATTATGTTGCAAATAATTTTAAGTTTATATTTAATGTCATTGAAATATTAAAAAAATTCAATTTTAATTTTGTTAAAATAATAATAAAAAAAGAAAGATACTCAATAACTTAAAATACATCAATTTCAGAAGTAAGTGAAAGTCTCATATTACATAGCTACAATAATTCAATCTCAAAATTCCAAATGAAAGTAAACAACTTAAAATACATAAATCTTATTGGTCCAATCAAAGATAGAAAATTAATCAAATTACATCCAACATAATTCTATAACATGCTTAACACATGTTGGTAACTTCATCAACCTCACTTTTGTAAGAAAATAAGATGAGAGAATGTAGTTTTAGGGTTATGTGGTACAAGGATAATTAGGATATTTAAGAAATATTATTAAACAGGTATCCGCGGGTATGGATATCATCCTACCCGCCCCCGTCCCGTTTATAAACGTGTAAAAATTTATCCGTTCCCATTATCCGCGGGTACCCAATTAGTCTATCTATTTATTATCCGTAGCGGATTTTACCCGTAGATACCCGCGGGTGCGGGTATTTTTGCCATCCCTATTCTTATCCATTTCAATTTGTATCTATTGTATTTATTTCTACTTAAATTTTAGTATTTTAAAGTAATTTATTCATAATTAAAAATAATCTTTCATAATATAAATTATTGATCAGAATTTTATAATACAATTTATATGTTCGAAATTGCTTATTTATACAAATTTAAAGTTGTTAGTCCCTTAGCCTCGTATAACTTAAGAGGGGGGGGTGAATTAAGTTTTCTAAATTTTCCTCTTATAAAAACTTTTCCAATTACTTTCTTATCACTTTATTTACTTAGACAAATTAGCATGTAAAGAATGATGATGAAGAACAACTCAAACACAATTAAATAACAAATAAATAAAAGTGTAGGAAAAGAAGAATTGCAAACTTGATTTTATACTGGTTCGGCCAATTCTGCCTACATCCAGTCCTCAAGTCTCCCACTTGAGAATTCCACTACTCTTGTAAACCTTACAAGAAAATGAATCCTCCAACACCTCGGAACTCCCTTTCCTTGTGTTGAGATTCAAACACCAAGAAGGAGAAAAACCCTTTCTCCTTTACAGATCCAATGATCTATTAAGTAATACAGAATGACTCTCTTGAAGACTGGATATTACACTTTCATGATATTTGATGAACTCTTTAGAGATTTTGCAAATGATTTTGGCCAAGTGATTTGTAAAGATAATTTTTCACAATTGAGTTCGTCCCTTTCTCTGAAAGATTATAGGTATTTATAGACAATTGTATCTTGAGTTATGTCTTTTCATGAAGAGTTGTAACTCTCTATAATTTTTCAGAAAATAGACTCTGGTAATCGATTACAGTCTTGGTAATCGATTACAACGGTTTAAGTTCAAAATGTTTGAAACGTTGTATAGTTCAAATTCGAATTTTGAAATTTCTCTTCTGGTAATCGATTACAGTCAGTGGTAATCGATTACCAGAGAGCATTTTAACATTTTGAAAGGTTTTCTTTCTCTGGTAATCGATTACAGCAAGTGGT